AGGCGTTTGGCCTGGACAATGCCGGCTGTATGGTCACGCCAGGTGTAGGGAACCCCAGTGATGGATGCTCGAAAAAAGTGTGAGACACAGATGACTGGCGACTCTGGTGGTTTCATAGATGGCCTTTTGCTATTGGTTGATTAATAGAGAGGATATCCCCAAGTGTACAACCAATAGGTAAATGGATGTAAATGGTACCAAACCGACTCCTCTATTCTTCCCCAAAGGACATCACTGTGTGGTTTGTAAGTGTTCTTGGCAGTCTTGATACTGTGTCCCTTGGTGTGCCATCTTGCCATCTTGGCGCCATAGAATACGTGTGATGATATGTAGTGCAAGACCTTCTTTTGTTCTGTCCGTATCAGGGTTTCTTTGCCAATGTGACCTCACAAGACGGAGATGTTTTGATGTGATAAAAGATGAGTGCGAGCAATTTCTCTCAGTTGCGCAGATACATCCAAAAGAACTTGATATAACTGTCATAATATTTATGGGTCTATACGGTGCATCATTATGGCCTTTTGACTTCTGCGCAAAACGAGCAGCTTGCTTCGTTTGCCCCTCTGAATGTCCAGGTCCTAGACAGCAAGAAGGGTGATGACTGGAACGCCATCCTTGAGAAGCGCCTTGGAAAGGAAGACGAGCCCAAAGACCAAGGGACACATGAGTGCAGGGTTCCCACTACCTGCTGAGAAGGTGTTTGGGGTGGGATTGCAGTTTGGAGGATTTGACTTTGAGGTGAAGATCAACATGTGTGTGGTGAGAAGCCATGAAAATATGAGATCCCCAGATCCCTACTCGCATGCATTACAAATTCATTGATGTTTGTGACTGACTGTGTTTGAATTCTGTGGATTACTCCAGAGTTTGCTAGCTTTGCCACGGGTTTTACTTCCCACAGACACTTACTGTAACATACTGTAACAGTACCTATATATACTGGCGGGCTTCGCCCACCGGCGACGCCCTTGGGGGGACTGCGCGTATCCGGAGGCTCCTTGCACAGCAAAATGCGACGATTAGCACAGCTTCTTACGCCTGCACACTCCCACACAGGTGTGCGCACCAGGGTCTGATGGAAAAGCCAGGCAACCTCAGCTTCACCCGCACACGAACGCACACGAGAGCGCACGGCTTCTTCAAATATCATGGCTTTGTAGTGGAAAGCGCTGAAACATTGTGCCTAAAGCAATTAGGCTAGGAAATGCCCAAAAGTACAAGCTTTTTCAGCGCTTTCCACTACAAAGTCCTGATATTGGAAGAAGCCATATAAGCCCAGGTGGTGTTAGAAATGTCGGCCGCAAACCGACATTTTGAACATCACCGGGACGTATGTATTTTCTTCAAAAACGTCAACAACACAGGGAAAATGATAAAAATTGCTACTGTCAAGCTCTATCTCTAGAGAAGAAAGTATGCTAAGAGGAGAGGAAGTTTTGAGGTAGCAGTTGTGTCGAGCACCATTGGCATCACCAGAATACGAGCCGCGTTCTTCATAAACTACATACATGCTGCAAGAACACTGTAATTTACAGTCTTTTCTGCCTAGTCGTGCACCAAAGAATGTGCATCTTTCCTGCCGAGACTCTGCTGATGCTAATGATGCTCGACCCAAATTTATCCTCTAAGCTTGTATCCATGTTCATTGCTCTATTTTCAAGAGGTTTGGACTGTTTCATCAGTGGCCATGTTTGATCATTTTCCATGTGTTTTTGATGTTTTTTGACGAATCCACCTGAGGTCGGGCGATGCTAGAAAAGAGGTCGGCGGCATCGGGCACGTCTCCGTATAGCAAGCTACGCTTAACCTTGGACATCGGCTGTTGATTCTAATCAATAACATTTGGAATTGTTTGAATTATATTGATTTCAAATATGGATTGTTCTATAACTGCCAAAGATGAAAAAATTTCAAAAGTTATTGATCTGAAGCTGATGAATTTCAATGGATTTTGCAACTGATTTCCTTATTGAATTTTTTGCTCATGGGGTGGACCCCATACACAGACATCCCTGCTAACAAAAACAGGTGTCACACCGCAAGGGTGGGTTGCCATCTGGCAAAGGTGGCAACCTGCACACCAAGAAGCCAGAAGTGGATGAGGGTTTATCAATGAGGGTGTTTGTTAAGAACACTGATTTGCTCCAAAACATGGGGCCTTATGAGCAAATCAGTAAAAGCAAGAATTGCAATCCAAAAGGATTGATGAAGATGTTACCCTTGACAAAAGGGTTGCTTGCATTGGAGAGCACATGTGAAATACATACTGGACGCCTTCGAAGGGCATTGTTCCAGGTCCTGATGACAAATGCGTCCATAATTGACAATAAGTTCAATGGAGCTGTGTGGATTGGATTAAGAATTGAGAGGCTGGGTGTGCTCATGTTTCATATGAGAAGGCTTGCCAAAAGCAATCTCCAACTGTGTGCCGCTAGGCCGTCGGGTGCTGAGTTTGTACAGCTCAAAGAAGTTGCGCAGATGATCGAACAAAGGATGCACCGGAGCAGGTCACTTTCCTTGACAAAAGGGAAGCAGAGCACACGGAGCACACAAAGGCTGCCACAGAGAGCAAGAGCCTCAAAAAGGAGATAAGTGATGTCAGTGTGGACAGCCAGGGCTTCCCAAAGTGCTTTGGCGCACTAGAAGGTGAGAAGATAGCCGCCTTACCACTTGGAGATGAAGAGCCCTTGACAAAAGGGAAAATAAGCAAGGAACCTTTGACAAAAAGGAGTGATGAAAGCCATGAACCCTTGCCGTAGCAATCCCCTTCCATGAGCCGTCTCTCACCCGTGGGTTACGGCCATGCAGCCGTGTCTCTACCCCCTCACCTTTTCCAGAAGCCGTTCTCTAACCTGCGACTGGATAACATCCATGCGATCTCCATAGCTGCGCCCTGTACGGAAGCTCCCGACAATTCCCTTCGCCACGCCTTTCCACCATCTAATCTCACACCAAAACGACCCAAAATTCGTCCTCGGAGCTGCTCTCTCGGTGCCAAACGCTGCTTTCTGACAGCAGTAGCAATCCCCTTCCATGAGCCATTCTCTCACCTGCTTGGCCCTTGTATGACGGTCTCTATACCTCTCCCCTATCTTCCTCCGGATCGGGCGGTGTTCTCTGGTGCGCTCCCCCATCGGCTGGGATCGGCGGATATATGGCATGTATAGAAAAGTACACTTGCAATGCCATTTAATTACACTTGCATGCGATATAATTATAGGTCATTGCACCGAACACACACACACACTTAGATTGATGCTCGCAAGAGTTGAATCAGTTGTGATGTTCCACTGTACACGCAATTAGACCTTCACTTGCATTAGCGCTTTAAAAGAGCTGAGTCAGATGATGAAGTTCTGCTTTACTGCAGGTAGACCTTGACATGCAACTAGACCTTGACTTGCATTAGCACTTTACAAGAGCTGAATCAGTTGGTGAAATTCCACTTTACTGCAGGTAGACCTTTACACGCAGTTAGACCTTGACTTGCATTATCACTTTAGAATTTGATTAAGAGTCAAAATAGAAAAAAGCAGGTGCGTTTGCACCCAGGTGGGGGGTGTCTTCATTGGCCGGAGACCCCCCACCTGGCTCCGGCCCCCTGCACTGTACAGTGTTAAAATTCCTTCGGTACAGGTGTGGACACACACACACACAGGGCCGTAAGTCGGCGCTCGCTCGTTTTTGGGCGGGAAAAAGAGGGTGAGAGAGCGCATTGACTAAACAAGCCTGGATGCCAACCTAACAAGCCTGAAAGAAAGAACAAGGCAAACGAAAAAGGCCAGGAAAGAAAGGAAAGGTGCAAGGGGTGCGGGGGTGTGGGGAGTGCGTGGACTAAACGAGCCTGAACGTCGACCACACAAGCCTGAAGGAAAGCCCAAGCAAGCGAAAAAGGCAAGGAACGAAAGGTGCGAGGGGTGTGGGGAGGGTGTGGGGGGGTTCCATGCCCGAAGGCGTTGACGCAAAGCCGTAAAAGGCGTTCCCTTGACTAAAAGGCTTGAATTACACCAAAAAAACTCTAGAAAACGAAAGAAGACCTAGAAAACGAAAAGCAACAGCAGGAGAGGAAGAACCGAAAAGTCCTATGGCCTATACTTAGCAGCATGGCGTGTGAATACTTAGCGGCATGACATGACATACTACATCCGGTCGCATGGCCTATGACGACCTAGCAGCATGGCATGTCAATACTTAGCATGTGTAAGCCTTTGTTGAATTTGATCTCAGTAAGCCCTGCGGCGTATGGTCGGCACTTTCGAGCAGAACGATGGATCGAGCAAGGTCCACGATGAAGATCACGTGCAGTCAGAAGGATCAGGGGGGGTCACCCTTAAGGGCATGTGCACATGCTGCGCCCCTTGCAGGGGATCACACCACAGCCCGCAGTGGGACTCTGTGGCGAAACACGCTTAGATTGATGCTCGCAAGAGCTGAATCAGTTGTGAAGTTCCACTTTACACGCAATTAGACCTTTACACGCAGTTAGACCTTTAAAAGAGCTGAATCAGATGATGAAGTTCTGCTTTACTGCAGGTGGACCTTTCCATGCAAGTAGAATTTGACTTGCGTTAGCACTTTACAAGAGCTGAATCAGTTGGTGAAATTCCACTTTGCTGCAGGTAGACTAGACCTTTACACGCAGTTAGACCTTGACTTGCGTTATCACTGTAGAGTTTGATTAAAAGTTAAATTGAAAAAAACAGGTGCGTTTGCACCAGGTGCGGGGTGTCTCCGGCCAATGACCACCTGGCTCCGGCCCCCTGCGCTGTACAGCGTTAAAAGCCCTTCGGTACAGGTGTGGACACACACACACACATATTTGCAAAAACCTTCTGATATGTCAGCTCTTCTTGGAAGCACCTGGAAGCACGGACACCCTGTGACATCCTGCGGCAAACATCCGTGCCCCCGCGACGTCCTCCGTCCCCGTGACTGCGGTTGAAGCTTCGCCAAGGAACCCCTGGTTGAAGACCCACAAACTGGTCGCCAAGCCCGACCAAATGATCGGAGGCCGAGGCAAGGCTGGCTTGATCGCCGTGAACAAGAGCTTTGAAGAGGTGAAGGTGGGACTATGTGGGACGGATTGGGACGGTGGGACAGCAGAGAAGGTTGCGAAAACGATAGAAAACGTGTTTTAACGTTGAATCAATTGTTTGTGTTATGTTTGTTAAATGTTTGTTGTAACATGTTATTGTAACGCTAACTTTTGGTGTTTGTTGTAACGTTGAACCAAGTAGCTGCAGCTGTTGGGCCATTTATGTTCAATCGAATCTTTGAGCCCGAAAGCGTCCAGCGACGCTGTGTTTTATCACTTATGGTGTTGTCAGGTCCTACTGAGCAGCTCCAAATTCACTTTATTGGCTCCACCGTAGGTCCTTTGTGGGGCAGTGGTGACAGTGATTTGTGTCAAAACGCATCCACCCTAGTACCTTGCTGATCTCCCCATACCACTGCCAGGCTTGGATCAACGAACGCATGTGCAAGGACATTGCGAGCCTTATTTTTGCAGGGTATGGAGAGATGTGAGCCTTCAATACTGACTGTAAATCAACTCAAAAACATGCATTTTTTGCAGCTCACCCATACGGAATGCTTGCCAGACCGATGAAATGATTCGTGTGTGTGTCACCCTCCGTTTCCAGGAGTTTAAACCAGATTCGTTTGCAGGGGCGTGTGGCCCTCTTGTCCTACCACATGCAATGAAGCTGTGGACAAGAGGGGGATGCAGAGCCTGATCAGCTCTGTGCACCTGCAAAACAACTGTTGTTCACGTTGTCTACTTTCTTGGTTTGCTTCCATGGTCGTTCTCATGATAGATCCTAAAGCAGGTTTCCCTCGCTATGTATTCAGTAACTAGAGTCCGCAGTCATGCAAACCCTTTTGTTAAACACCTTCACTCCCACTGACCCAGCCGTCTTGCCGTTTGCGTCCATTTTTCGTGGGAAATTGAGTTAACTGCAAACCCATTGTCAAAGTGTGTGCGTGCATGTGTTTTTCTTCCGTTTGCTGTGACTCTTTCTGCAGGATACCACCGTGGCGGGCATCACTGGGCAACTCACTCACTTCCTCATCGAGCCCTTTGTACCTCACGAGCAGTCGGAGGAGTTTTATGTGTGCATCCAGTCCCACAGGTACAAGGAGCCCTCCTGAAACTATGTCTCTCCCATCTGCGTGGTTCAGGTCACATGGATTCCGTTGGGCGGACCGTTTTTGGTTTGGGTCCGAGGTGAAGGTAACCGAACAAAATGGAACAGTTCTCACTGGGTGTCTGATTTATAAAGTTTTGTGTACTTTGTGTCATATGGATCATATGGGATCATATGGACCTGTATAATCCTTTGTACTCCTTAGTTGTGGAAACCAAAAGATCTATATGTAGATGGAACAGAGGCTGGGAGAACACTTGACACCACCCGGATCCTCCATGGAACGGACCTTACCTGTAAAAAATACATAAAATGGTGCTCCCAGCCGAACTAATTCCATGGCGAGCTACGCCGCAGCGCGTAGGATGAGATTTTCTTCTACCATGAGGGCGGCGTTGATGTGGGCGATGTGGACTCCAAAGCCTCCAAGTTGGCCATTCCCACGGGATGTGCGGCTCGGCTCAGCTTTTCAGTTGGAGGAAACATATTGTATAAAAGAGTATGAGGATTTCTGAGAATCCTGGCCTTAGAGAAAGGTTGACTCCAACCCTCTATACACAGTAGTGTGCTTAGACACAAGAGAGCCTGAATAGTTTGTGTTTGCGCATGTTGTTGTTGCCGTGGCCATTATTGTTGTGCTGTTGGTTGTTTTTATTGTTCTTGTTCCCGCTTCTGCAGGTATTGTTGATGTTTGTGTTGTTGAGCCTGTTGTTATTTCCGGGAAGATTGCGCATCAATCGCAGTTGCTGGCGAGTTTGCATCACTGTTTCTTGAAGTTGATCATGTGTTTTCTGTTTAAAGGGAGCTCATCCTTTCAGGTCTCGGATTTTCAGTGAGCACTTTGTTTAGGACTATCTTCTGGGAGGCTTCACGGTGGCCAGCGTTGAAAGATGCGAAAGCCAACTCCTTGACAGATCCCCAGCGTTGAAAAGAAAAACAACAAAACACCCGAAAGACGACCAAAACACCCCGCCGGAGGGCATGCGAACTCGGAGTTCTGTCGGCGTGCTGGGTGATCACTCCAGAGCCATGCCTAGGAGATCTCGGAAGAGATGATCCGGCTCGAGCTCCTAGGCCCAGAGGGGGTTGGAGTGGGGGGGGGGATCGACGCTTTGATGATTGTTCAACCCCCGTTCACAATATTTTACAAGCCATTCCATGTTTGGGGAGTAATGACATGTATATCTGATAGTTTATGTAGAGCCAGTGATGTGTGTGTGTGATGCTGTTTCCCTCAACATCGCATCGCGTAGCATGGTGAAACATGGTTGATCTCCCATTTTCTGTCGATGTGCAAATCATCCAGGGGAAGTCACGGCAGAGAAGCAGAAGACCTTGGCAAGCTTCATCAAGGCCTGTCAGAGACGATGCGGAAAACCAAAGACATCCGAAGGATCAAAAGGGTGACATATAGTGGTCCACCGTCACAAGTTGCGAATCTCTTCCAGTCCGCTACATTCCAAATAGGGGAAATATCATATCCCTTTGACCTTTTTGGAGTCCCCAAGTCACCCGTTAGAGGCCGCCCTCAGACCAGACTATTCAAAGGTCACCTTTGCAGCACCGGGTACTTGAGAGGATCGAATTGGCGTTCGTCTCAAGAGTGAAGGACCGAGTTGCCTAGTCGGCATCACCGTTGAGGATACACTGACCTTCCCATGTCAAGCAGGAGATGTAGCCTCTTCGTAGCCTCTTTCCAGGAGGCATTATATAAGAATAAGAATATGATTCAACTCATGACCTCAAAGCCAGTCTTCGTTTGAGTTGTTCCATGCTCTTGATTGAAGAACAACGACGTGTTCTCGCCATACCACCTCTACTCCTGAGCGATACCTTGCTTGTCCGACGATAAGTCGTCGACACTTCTTCTTCACCATCCATGGTCCGCAAATGTTTTGGACCGGAGCTTCGTCTTGCCTTGTCACCGGAGTCCGGTCTAATGTGCCATTCCAAGGTCTGGGCTAAACCCGTCGCCCTTTTTCTTCAGACAGAATCCACTGTCCGGCTAGACAGAGACCCACCACCTCCAAAACCAGGAATCATGACGTATCACCACATACCCAGAATTGTTTAGTGCATGAGCGGAGTCTCCACTGTACTATACTGTACTATACTGTACTGCTCGATTTTCTGGAATCACAACTTATTGGTTTTCTGGTATTTGCAGATTGAGACGTTTCTGTAAGCACAGCCACCCCCCTCTTCTTTGGGTCAGGTGTTTCTCCATAGTGTTTCAACGAAGAACCCTTAAGACTGCAGAGCCGGTCTTTTGATGAGAGAAAGCACTTGCCTTTTAAAAGCGCTACCATAAACGTTGGGGAATTGCTAGGGGTTCAGGGTTCTATTCCAACAACTCAAAAGCACAAAGAAAGATTTGTTGTTCCACTAGCCTGTTCAGATTGACTCAACAGGCCTGGGAGACCTGCTCGGCCTGCCGCAGCCGTTCGCAAGACTTCTGAGGTACTTTCGGTTGTTCGGCGACCGATTTTCGGATGGTGCCGGATTTGTCAGATCTCGGATCTCGTTGCCGGTTGTGCGAAACAAGGCTGTCATGTGCACCATTTAAGGCACAGAACTGCCCTCAAGATGGGCACAAACTGCAAAAGGTGCAGGAATCCAGGACCTCTTGAACATCCAAGGTGCTGAATACATGACATAACTTAAACACCATCGGCGGTCACTTAGGCTTTGTACAGGCTTTAGTTTCTATGCTAATATGGGGCTCCAGTATTCCTGAAGAACTGTTCTTCTTGATGCCCTGGGACAACGGACCTCGAGAGCGGCGTGTGGAAAGGCATTGTTCACCTTCTACAAGGAGTTGCACTTTGCATACTTGGAGTCTTGGTGAGAAGTGGAGGTCGCTCGATGTGTTTTCGCTTGGTGAGAACTGGAACATTGCCAAGTGTGGTGAACAAGATGAGTTTGGTGATCTCTTTAGGTGATCAAGTTCCCTTCAGAACTTCAGCTGCTTGAGTGCTGAGGAGTGTCCTGAGTACCACCATATACACACGCTAATGAGATTCACAGTCGTTGCACCATACACATTCGCTGCGAGACTGTGAGGAAATCAATCCGATTGCCATGTTGCCAGACAACAAGGAGATTGATTGGTTCTGTTTGACGGAGATGAGGGAGAGGAAGACGAATATGTTCGAATCTCGTAGATTGCAAGAGCTTCACAATAATGCAGCAATGCTCTTAGGGTCTTTGGAAACAGCCAAGTATCCTGGTGGTGGTCTCCGTTGCGGATCCTACAATTTAGGATGGTTATAGACAGCGTTTTCTCGAGGGTATCTAGATTAGTAGTTGAGGACGAACTCTGTTTATCATGCATCACCTCGTAGAGCTTCAGCGAAACTGGAAAAAGGTGCATCTTCCGAGGCATTTTCCCCCCGAAGAGACGGAAGCGACCCGGACAAGCGTTGCGACCCGGATCTGCGGCCAACAACACATTCGGCCGGCATCACAGAGGTCGGGTAGTTTATAGACACCCCCTGAGTCATATATGGGCAGCCACTGTTATTTAGATTTTAACTAAAGTAGTCTACGGCATGCTCTATTTGCTCGTCTATCGTCAGCATTCGCTTGTGAACGAGATAGGGCCCCCACAAAAACGCGATACTTTTGCTTGATGACACGTAGTCTGAATGAGATAGTCTGTGTATGTCTGTGTGATTGTCTATACTAAATGTAAAGTAGTCCGAACGAGATACTGTGACATCACCTCCTACTTAAATAGTCTAAACGAGATAGGGTCCCCACATAGTGGATAGTGTATTTGAGTTTAGTACCAAATCAATGCGGAAAACGCACATATGTAGTTTCCCTCCAGCCATCAGAAATCTGTGGTGCTGGGGGTGGATCTCAGCTGCACTGGTGTGTTTGTGGTGTGTTCTCTTTCTTTTTCCAGCGCCATGAGCGCCGAGCCCTTCCACCGAAAACTTCCCCCGACAGATCGTGCCATTGGACCTTGTCGCAAAGATCGACGAGACAGCCTCTTTTTTGTTTGGGACCTCAGTGCAGAACTGTGCAAATTTGTGGAACTGTGACGGCCATGTGAGATGATTTCCAAGTGAACTCAGTAGTCTGAGGTGTTGTAGTTTTCAACATAATATATTACTATATTTGTTCTATATATGGACATTGATGCTCTTCAACTCGATGTTTTTGAAGCCAGAAGCTCGGAGCTGACTCATGTATTGGCATAGAGGTGGTTTCTGGGCTCAATGTGGAAGACAACGGTGGAATAAATAAGAGCATCCCTTGGCCTGTCTGCGAATATGGCATTAAGACTAGCAGGAAGTAAATAATTTATGTGAAGCTTGGACCAAATCTCTTTTTTGGGGAGATCTCTAGTCTTCCTTGGTCCCAAAACCAAGCTATTAGCTCGCTATCCTCCATGACCAGTCCGGGTTGGTATTCAATCCGCGGTTTTGGGGCGCAGTGGGTTGGAACCACCGCAAACCACTCTTTATGCACTCCGACCTGACTAACATGAAACCTGAGAATGGACCGGTGGTGGTTTTGACCATTTTCCTCATACCAACCGGGCTCCATGGTTAATCTGGGGTTCCATGGTTACAGTGTAGAGGGCTCCGACTCGCTGACAATGGAAAAAACACCTGTTTTGTATTCGGAAGATTGTCTTCACAGGGGCCCATGTTTTGTCCACTTCCATGTGATGTGTTTGTCAGAGTGCATCCATGTGCATCCCTTATTTGATGCGTTGCGTCGCGGAAAAAAGAAAGCAAATGTTCCGCAAACGACTTTCCTACATAGTCATCACGAACAAACAGGAATTGGAAGTTGCTTTTCTGGAATTCTTTAAATACATATTTCAAAATAAATGTATCCCTGAATATCACAACGTGCGCGTCACAGCAAGGACCTTGTGCACAGGTTCCCTGACTCCTTGTCAAGAATTACGCCAGCCTGATTGGCTGCAATAATTGATAATTAGTTTCCTGCCAGACCAGTCATTGGTTGCGACTGGAACGTGAGGGTCACCAAACCTGCTGTTTTAGCTCGACACATTCGTCAGCAAAAGACCGCTCCGTTTCACATCTGTCAGACGTTCTCCTTCACATCCGTCAGCAGTCTTCTCGTTCGTCTTCGCTCGTTCACATCCAGGTGTGCGCCAAAGTGGGGCGAGCTGGACTGGTCGCTGTCTTAGTCAACCCATGTGTGTAGTTCAATAACTAGGAAGACACCCTGACCCAATGGGTAGACCGGTATGTTTTCTTCCTGTCCAGAGGGCTCGGAACGCCTGGGAGGTCTCCCTATTTGAGCGAAGCCAGGCCATCCCCATTTGGGCGTGCCGCATATCCAGAAGAGGCCACAGTGTTGTCGAAGACGAGTGGGTTGTAGCAAGAAGCTGCTAGTAACAAAGCGCATCCCTCCTAGGAGCAAGGACGCTACGAACGTAGCTCGTGGCATTACTATGGAAATTGTCGTCCTCTTGGCCAATGCTAAGGTGAACCTGGGATGGTAGCTCACGAGCGAAGTAACAGGCTTACTGGTTGAGTATGGAGAGCAAGAGCTCGCAAGGCGTTGATCCGCGATTTGGATGGGCCTGGAGCTTAATTTGAGGGACCGCGGTGCGGCTGCAAGGACCGATTGCTTCAGGATGTGTTTACGTTGTTTACAATGGTGTATTTACATGTATTTACATGTTTTTGCTCTTGTTTGGTAACTCTAGTGGCAATTGGTACTCACTTAGACTGGTTTAGTGGGGAAGTTTATGGAGTTGTCCCCGAATGATTTGTTTGGTCTAGTCCCATGCGTTGGACACGGGCCAATGAACAAGCATGAGCCACTTCAGAGTAGATGATCCTTTGATTGGATTCATCCAAAATGTCCTGTGGTTCGTGTTGATTTGCCCAGACTTCTATCGCTAATCTCGTAGTTAAAGGACCCCTGCGTGACATGTTCAGCTAAATTGCAGAGGGAGTGGTTCTCATCGCACGCACATAGGTCTTCCCTGGAGTCAAATGAAGTGTCCGAGTGTCCCAACCAAACCACCTCTTTGGTAATTCTTTGGATTGATTTCGAGTTGAAATCGGGGCCACACCGCCAACAAAAACGCCATGGAGTGCACCCTGATCCGCCATCGATTCAGTGAGTCAAACCCAGGATCCGCCCCCTGGGTTGACCCAGAGACTTTCACCGAATGGACGACCTGACTTGTCGCTCAACCTGGGTCGGTGAACCGGATCCGGATTGTAGTTGATCCGGTTTGGGGCCCACCTGCCCGACAAGCACCTGACTGAGCATGTTTGGACCTGCCTTGGACTCTCTTGGACTCTCTTCGGAAGGCGAAGATGGCTTACCCCTGGTCGTCCAATCTGAGGAAGACGGGCGCCTCCTTGAAACTCACCGTCTTGAACGACAAGGGCCGCGCCTGGACGCTCGGGGAGGGCGCGGTGTGAAGCGGTTGGCATTGGAAGTGCGGTGAAGGGGGGCGTTGGACCCAACGAGATTAGAGCAAAAACCTCCCCAAGATGGTGGTGGACTCATGTTGACACTTGAGTTTTGGGGGTGGTTCGGATGAAATGATGTTGAATTCAACTTTCATTTTTCACGAGGTTGGGGGCACTCATCTTGACTTCAATTCGGAGAAGAAAACGCACCAATCCATCACCAATCCCAAACCTCGCTGGCTAAGGGCAAACTGAGTGCGTTTTTCTGCCCCAAGCACTGAATCCAATCTACAAGACTTGGATGACATGATCCGATGTGGCAAACCGCGTGCATGGCAAACAAAGAACAGACCCCCATCTTGTCCCCCATCTCACGGCTGCGCGCATGTGCCACCAGTAAGTCACCCATTTCATCACCGTTCACAGCTGTGTTGAAAGCCCCCCTTTGGTACATGGGGAAGTTCTGGCTCTTCTGGCTCACGATCTATGTACACCATACTTATCAAAAATAAGTTAAATAGCAGGCTACAGGCTATAGAGTCTAAGAGGATCAAGAGATAGGGCACATTTGTTACAACCGCTGGGGTACTTCTGGTTCTTTTGGTTCTTGTACCAAGCAAGTTTTTTATGCAGCACGTTTTTTTCACAGAACTCTAGAACCTTCACCTAGGTCAGACCGGTGGAGTTCTTTCGGGTCCTTGCAAGACCGACCCTTCGTTGACGCCAACGGGGAGGTTGTTCAACGGGGCCCCGGATCCCCTGAGGTCTGGACCATGGTCGCCGGCGGGGGCGCCTCCGTGGTTTACTCCGACACCGTCGCGGACACGTTCCCCGCGTGCGGCGAAACGGGGGGGGCGGGGGTGGTAAGGCCAGAACGGGGCACCGTCGTTGCCTAGCAGAAAGCAATAGAAAGCAGACTATAGAATTTCTTACATATGTCCGTGGGTCGAGGGTCGAGGATGGTCCATGTACTGTGAAGGCTTCTGCAAAGTAGGTCAGACCTTTTACTTTCTGGGTTCGAAGATGTTAGATGTTTGCGATCAAACCACCATGCTGCTCAGTCAAAACAGCATAATTGACAGCCTTTCGTTACCCAGAGCGACCATGACTCACGACTCACAGGACTATGGCTGGGGCAGTGAATTGGCCAACTACGGCGAGTACTCCGGTGCTCCCAGCACCGAGGAGTGCGAAGACGGACGGAGTACCCCCGAATAGAAAGGTGGGAACAGTGCGAGGCGCCCAAAAAAGGTGGGGCATTCCAGGTATTTCCGGGTGGGAAGAAAGGGCCGAAAAAACATTCACAACGGACATGTTTACGCCGATGTCAGATGATTTGGAAGCGATATAGATAAATCAGATACTTATTTGCTTTGTTCTTTCGTGGGGAGCGCATATCCTATATCATACACAAGAAAAACATTGACGCGATGTGAGGCAGTATTCACATCGTGTTCAGTCAGCCAGATGCTCATGTGATCCTTAACATGGCTAACTACATCTAACTACATGACTGTTCTTGTTGTTTCCGTATAGCCAATGGGAGCTGTTTTTTGAAAATACAACACTGCCAATCTTCTAAACCTTGCACAGTCGTAGCTGTCGTAGGTGGCAGAAAATCCAAGATGATGGGAAACGACACATGAAAAATCCATACGCTACATCAGATCTTAACTGTTAACTCTTTCCATCCATATCCATCCATGCTTTTGAGGAAGGTGGTCAGCATGGTGGGTTCAAACGCTTGCAGCGGAGTTCTCCAGTTCTCCAGGAGACCTTCACCTATGCCAAGACCATTCTGTCCCTGATGTGCAGATACAAACATCCTGATGGCAAGTTCCTCATCATTGGCGGAGGCCGGGCCTTTTCTCACGGGACTGTCGGGCCGAATCGTTGGGTCGCCACAGCTTCTATGCCTGCAGTTTGGTAGATCACTCCTGCGTTGGACACCGAATCAATGCATGCTGAGGTGTGCTTTCTGTGCAACTGTAGCATGTATTTGCCTGCACCAGGCATTGCAAACTTCACTGATGTGGCTGCCACCTTCACTGGCTTGATCAAGGCGCCTGCTGAGATGGTGGAAATCATTGGATTCATGACAATCAAGAATACTGACCCTGATGCAAGATGCTGAGGACAATCAAGAAGCACTCTTGCTTTTGAAAGGCACTCCTCCCTTAAGAGTTCTGGTCGATGATGGCCAGCCATGTGCTCGACACTTTGAGAAGATCTCCTTGGGAGTCGGTTTTCTCATTGTCGTCGGCCGAGTCGGCCTTGACGACGGTTGGAATTGATGTGGCCCACCGATCGAGGATAGAACCTCTAGCTTCATTTTCAGCATTGTTTTTTCTCTTAAGTCTTACGCTCTTCCTAAACTCACATGGACCCGGGTCGAATGGCACCCGGGTCGTTTGACTGTTTTCCTCCAGTTTTCAAGGTCCATGGGATCGTTTGACCCGCCGGGTCTTCTCCGGGACCGTGGCCGCCCGGTTTGCGGCCAGGCTTTGGACATGTTCGCTGAGCAAATCAAGGCAGCTTTTGCGCTGCGAGAGAGTGCAAAAGCACAAATTTGGTTGAAAACGTCAGTAAAATGACCACACAGAAGCAAGAGGTGCTAGGTCTAGTGGATATTGCGTCATTTGACGTCTTGTGATTAAGTCAATGGGCTTGCAAGCCATGGCTCACAAGAAAAACGCATGATATCCAACGGTGCGGCGGTGCGATCTAAAGTACGAATGCCACCAATGCCACAAAGCAAAAAACGTTGGCAAGAAAGGAAAGGACTCTCTTTGACGCATGCCAAACCATCCATGCTAATGATCACTGGAAGTTCGGATCCCAAACCCATCCATGTGACTGGAAGAGGTTCCTGAAGTTCCATCATGACGACGACCATAATGGAAGTAACCATTTCAGTCCCATGGATGGTTTGAGGATGGTCCTCTTCTACTTGTGACTGACGCCGGGGGTGACAACCGGCATGACCTGACTGTTGCATGAGCTGAAAACAATATGTTCCTCGATAGATCTTTCACCCCACCCCTGGGCTCCTACTGCTGAGTTAAGTCTGGCACTTTGGCCATGATTATGTCTTGCAGGTGCTTTTGGAGACAAACCTGCCAGGAATGCTGAATGGAACACCTTGCTCGTGTAGCCTTGAAGCAAAGCCAAGCCAAGCCTGGGCATTGATGAATTGTAGTGATTGGGACATTGTGCATCCCCCACTTACTGTAATTTCCGTTCTGAGAATGGAACCAGCAGCCCAAACCGTGAAACGAAGAAAAACAACTACACATACTGCGCAAAAAGCGTTCCGGGCGACCGAAGTTCATGGTCACCGTGGGTCAGGAACACAAGATTCACATTTGGTGCCGCCGAGCAGGGCCCAATTACTTGGAGGCGACGGAGGGATGGGACGTCGATGGGGTCTGACGGTCTGACGGTGTGAGTTTTTTTTTTTTTTTTCGGAACGCATGGGAAACACCCCATCTCCTTCAATTCCAGTACCTCCAAATCTTGGGACACCTACACGGCACGGGTGTAGCAGCAGTGCAGCAGTATGTGCGGCGGCGAAGCGCGTTTAAATAGAAACGCATATATAATTTGTGGGGACTTGACAGTGCGTTGAAGGAATGACACTTCTTGGAGAATATGTAGATGTTCAGTTGAACCAGGTGTTGACCCATGGCCACATCGTTGAGTAGCATGGCTGTTTGTTTCAGAAAGTAGGAAAATGCCGGTTGCATCTTGCAAGTGTTTGTTGTAACAACAAGCAACAAGAGTAAGCATTCAGACAGCAGGTGTTTTATGTTTATTTGTCCATCCAAGTTGCTTGCTTACGCACACAGCACTTCTTTCTAGACTGCCTACTAACTCCAACAAGCAGTTCAATGTGCAACATCGAAGGCCCCAAGAAGTTGAGACACTTGCCAAACATTCGAGAAAGACTAGACTAGACAAAAAAAATCAATATGTTTCCAGTTTGTTTAAGACACTTTCTCCATTCTCTCTGAGAGAACAGGTTCTTACTTTACAGATGCAAACCCTATCAAACCCTCACCCTTTGTCAAAAGCTCAGTGAACTCCTTCTGGGTCTTCCGCTGGGCCATTTGGTGTTCCGTTGCTCGTCCTTGGCAGGGCCTGAAGAAGCTCAAGGTGGCCAGTCAGAAGCTGGGCCTAGGCGTGAAGGCCAGGTGTTTGGGGGGGAGGGAGGGTAGAAGTGGAAGCTCAAGCTCCCTGGCCTGGCTTGGGTGCGTTTCATGAAGTTCAGAACGGTGGTAGGGTCGTGGGAAGGGGCCATGTTCCACTTCCGAGTGTGTAACTGTAACACGTTTTGATGTCATCTTGGAGAGGTCTTGATGTCATCTTGGAGGCTTCAGATGATTCAGATCGCTAGATGTGAGGAACAGGTTCTTGCTTGCATCTTCTAAAATATGTTGCTAGAGCTTGCAGACGCAGGCATTGCTGTTTCGCATCTATTGGGAGCTGCAGCTGCTGCAGTAAGCCATTTCTGTGAATCCATGTGAATCCCAAAATGCAACCCTTGCTCTAGACTCTATACTTCTTCCTCGGATTTGTAGGGCACAGAAATGGTGTGTAGGGATTCGGGAGTTTCCCTGTTTGATCAGCACCCTCGTGATTTCTTCCTCCACGTCGGCTTTTTCGCTGACGGAAGAGCAGGTGCCGAACTGGAGATTCCGCCACCGGTCCTCGTGGCCACCGGTGGCGGTCGGGAATTCACATCGCTCCGGGCGGTCGGGTAGGTTTATGGACCCGAGACCCACATCACGGTTGCGGATGCCCAGACCACGAAGAATGGTGAAGGGTGGACGGAGCTGCTTGGTTCCTGTGTCCAGGGCCCCTGTTTTCAGGGTCCAGCTAGGTTTTGTAGGACGCATAGGGTGGTTGAGAAGTTCAGCTTTGGTTGCACACAAGAAACTTGCGTGCGTTAGCCATTTTTCGTTGGTTCTCGATGCTTTTGCACTTCTTACTGTAGGAAAATCCTACGGATAATAGAAATAGATATAGAAATAGTATGTGTTTTTTCAGTACTTGGGAACCTTGTATCATGTACCCTGGAATTTGCTTTTGAGTTTTGCATTCTTGTTTAGTTGCTTTTGTTTTGTTTTCTGTTCTGCATGTTTCTTGTTTGCTTTTCGGCTTTGTTGCCTCCCGGTTGTTTTGTGTCTTTGCTGGTGTGTGGTTTCTTGGCTATGTTGCTTGCTGCACATTGTACCTTGTTTGCTTTTGCTTGCTGGATATTCTTGAATTTGATCCATTTTGAGAAAGGCAAAAGAAGAGTGGCCGCAGCACAGTCTCACCCAGCTCGTGCTGGCGGCAGGTAGATTGCCACGGTATTGGCTGCTTTTGCACAGCGCGAGGTGCCAAGCCCGCAGCTTGCCATGGCATGCTGTGGCCGCTCCACGGCAGCTGCTGCGTTGCAGTCCTTTGCCAAATCGCTGCAGTCAAGCGAAGAGGCGGGAGCCAGTCCAATGCTCTTCCCGATGTACACGGTGCCCTTGAGGGAGTTGTTATTGATGGGGGAAATTGAACCGCATGAAGAGCTAATGCGTTTGTTTCGCATCAGTGGGTTGGCCTTGACCATCCCGATCCGGAGTTCAAACAGATGCGCGTCTTGCAAGCTGCTCCGAAGCATGCCATGTCTGACGTGCAGTCGCGACGAGACCTCTTTTCATATGGTATGAATACTTCTCATGCCCGCAACTGGAAAGTAGTTCTTTGCAAAATGAGAAGCCCAGTGATCTTTCCAAAGCCGTTGAAAGCATCCCTGCCTACATCGCCAAATGTGCGTTCTTCTTTGTCCTCTGCCCTGTGATTGAGAATGCCAACATCTCAAAGGTCTTTTCGCCCTCCACCTGGGCTCAGAGAGGGTGGTGCCGCTTAGAGAGGGCTTGCTGTGAGCTTGGTCCGAACCATTCCTGGGTTGTGGTCAAGGGTCCTATGACTTTGGAGCCTCTTGGATGACAAACCTGCTTGGTTGGTCTAATGGAGAAACCACCCACTTGGTTTAGTTAGCTGGTTCTCGGCCGGTTGGCTAGGGAGAAAGATGGAGAAAGTGACAGCCAGTCGCTCACGATCGTTCACGATCGTTCACGGCGACGTCGATCGTCGCTTTCTCAGTGTTCCACCCAGGGGCCATTTGTGAAGGCAAAGATTTTGGCCGGTGAGTAGTGTTGGTCCGTGGTTCTGTACAGTTGCTTTTTCAGGAGGATTGTGCTGATAAGGATGATGTTGACTATTTAGTGGCTGTTTGGTTGTCTAGGAGACTTGAAGGCCATTTGATGGTCAATGAGGTGGTAGACTGTCCTGTTCATGTTCATGGTGAACCGTGACCTGGGTTGATGGTCGTTTTTGTTGATCCACAGCCACATGGCCGACCGGGAGGGTGCCCGAGGTTGATTTCGTGTCCGTCGGCCTCCATGGGGAGCGGTCCTGCAGGTGAAGGGAACTTCTCCTTAGCTGCAGACCGACAAAAGGTTGCGCCTATGCTGGTGCCGGTGCTACGGCGCAAGCTGCTGTCACTCCTGAAAGCTGAGGAGTATGTGACCTACCGTGTTGTTCTCAACCAGCAGAGTGTTAATTTGAGAGGATTGGGAGTCAAGGATTTTTACAAGCCAATACCAGCCTTGGAAGACGACGATGTCGTTGAAGAGTTCATCCATCAGAATGGCTTCACCTCCATCTTCCAAAGAGACCCCGCAGGATGGTTGCCCTTACACTATGCTTCCCTCAGAGGGTCTGTGCAAGTGATTCAAGGCTTGTTGGCAATGAGAGCCAATCCCAATCAGAAGACGACCAAAGACCAGCCATTGGTGGGGCTGCCGCAGTTCACATCAGCCCTGACCATTTGTGTCTACTTCCGACACTATGAGGCTACACAGCTGCTGATCTCTGCCAAGGCATCACTGACCGGAGGCAGAGTGTGTCTTTGTAACTGGACATGATGCAGTTGTTGTTTTTCTTGGGACGGATGCCAATGAGAATATGTGTGTGTGTATATAATATAGTATATTATCTCCAAGAATAAGAAGTCGCTTCAAGAGCTTTGTGTATGATTCTAGCCCCTTTTGCAATGTGCTATGTTGTGAATGGTCCGAAATCATGTTTCCTTGATCCTTCTTTCCTTTGGCAGAGTTCTCATCCGGTACTCCTCTGACTGCCTCCGCACTTGCTGACAGTGCCGAAGGCATCCGCACCTTGTGCGCGGCTCGATGCAGTGTTCACCATCGGAACCTGTTGGGCGCCAGTGTCTTTGACACAGCCTGCGCCCATGGCACGATTCAGGCAGTCCCTGGGATCAGAATGATTAAGAGTAAGGACCCACTCACCAGGGCGATTTTCTGGGAGAAAGGAATTTAGTTTCAGCTTTAATGATGACATGACATGTGACATGCACAAAATCATATAACATCATCATACAACATATATAACATAAGACAATTTCTTCAGATTGTGGTTGAAGGTAGAATCTGCCCCACGTTGCCACGTGATGATCTTTTCTTAGAGTCTTAGACGAGGTGTTTCACGGTCTGTTTTCCAGGCCACTTTAGCTAGACTTCTTTTATCGACCTCCATGTTCGAGCCAGCCACTTTGACATCCTTTTGTTTGCAACAGTCTTGCTTTTGAAGTAAGGTTGAGGAGCTCCTCCGGCAAACCGGAGGAGATGGCATTGATATGACATGCGCCCTCCATGTTGCAATGACCCATCATGGAGGCTCTGCAGAACTTGTGAAGCGCTTGGTAGATTTTCGTGCAGATGTGAATGATCAGAGCTTCACCTGGTGGAGGGCCGGGACAGGTTTGGGGCTGCTCTCCATCCAAAAAGCGATCCAGCGGAAGTTTGGCAAACAGACCTTGTGCACCAAGATGACCTACCACGGTGGACATGGTGGAACCCCGCTGATGCTGGCCATGCTCAGCTCGCAGTACGAGGGTGCTGCTGCTCTGGTGGCTCTGGGCGTGCGGGTGGAGCCACAGAACGCGGGGGGTGGAGGGCGGCGGATTTTGCTGAAGGAGCGGAGGCAAACGCCAACCTTCGGGATTTGAGAACAGGATCCATGAACAGCCATCATGAAAATCATGAAAAAGAGTAGATACAAAAGGATTAAGACATTCCACAATAGTGTATGAAGTGCCTTCAATTTGTGTGCCATAAGTACGATTGCACAAGAGCAGGGCATTCATATGCTGACATGCTCCACCGTGGCAAACAATAGGGGAATCTAGGGGACACACAAATCTGATGATGTAATTTGTAATAGCCGCAAATAATTGCTTTGGACCGTACCTGATATATGTCTCTTCCCCAACCATTTTTGATGTCAGTGAGTGCTCTTCTTCAAGACATCCGGTGCCAAATTTCCTTCTGCAAGCCTTTGAAGGAAGGCCCTCAGAGTGTCAGAAGGTCACACATACAGCCCTCAGTCACGCCTATGTGGAGCTCTGAGATGAGGATTCTGTCATGGCGTTTCCCAATTGATCAAGAAAAGACGTGAATCACGTGTAAGGTGTGCTGCACGTTGATTCCAATACGAGAAGACTCGTGCTCCAAAAACCACGGTGGACGTCACCATTCATGGTGGTCCTGTCTTGGGGAGACCGGACCAGACCGGACAAGACCGGTCGCACCGGAGCTCCGTTCCGGTGTGTTTTGGGCCGTCGTTGAAGACAGCGCACCTCGGAGCCAAGCGAGAAAGCTCGCATCGAAAAAGCCCAGCAAGTGCGCCAACAAACCATGCAATTGCAAGCCAAAAAAGTGAGGGAGGAAGGAGGGAGGGAGGGAGGGAGGGAGAGGGAGGGAGGGAGGGAGGAGGGAGGAAGGAAGGAAGGAAGGAAGGAAGAAAAGAACGAAGGAGGCCACGGAAGCAAAGCAAGCAGGGAACGAAGGAAGCCAGCAGCCCAACGGGGGGCAAGGAAGCAAGCAAGGAACGAAGCAAGGAAGCTAGGTCCTTGCAAAGAAGGAAGGAGGGAAGGAAGGGCAAAAAAATGCCATACTTGAATCCTGGGATCAATTCATTGTGTGTTTTTGTTTTTGACCTATGATTTGATCCGAACATGTAGAATGTCAACATATGTTATTGCTTCCACCTTGCTACATGGCTCTTTCCCCCTGCCCACCTGGCCACCTGCCGAGGCCGTGGTGCCCATGGCGCTGGGTCTGAAGGAGGCTTTGCCTGAGCTGGGGGCCCTGCCAACGGCTTCCCTGGCGGCGGAAGTACTCCAAATACGACATGAGCTAGTTGAAAGTATGTTGAAAGTATAACTGACATGTACATCATATATATATATA